ACTGTCGATACGATTTCAGTGGAAACACCGAAGCCATTTATCCATTAATCAATTAGAACGGCAAATATTCCAACGTCGCTCGCTCGGAGATATCCATTTGGTAAATAGAACGCTGTGTATTCAAATTTTCAGGAGACCGTTAAGTGCAGTTCACTGTATCGATATTTGCTGAATTTATGAAATTTCCATCCAATTCAAATGAACGTCAATCACGAACGAATCGAGGACCTTGATGATCGTACATTTTTCTTCGTCCCTTAAAAAAAAAAAAAAAAAAAAAAAAGCGATACGACGAAGCTCAGGGTAATGTTAGCGATAATGACGGAATTTTATTTATTTGCGACAAAAAAAAAATGTGCAAATGCATAAGTACACTTGTTTGCATAAATAACAGTAAAGATTTGTACTAGGCAATGTACGAATGGATTTCATTTAATTAGACTAACTCAATTGCGTGACCGTTATCTCGTCTTTGCAGATCGACCTGTGCAATTGTACTTTTTATTAAATTAACAAATAAATACATACGTTTGTTGTTTAGAGAACTAAAGAAATTCTATGGTCTCGGGTAGAAGTGGAATTAATTTTGTATTCGAGGATCAATAGATGAATAATGGGACAGATCAATAAATATTTGTACGATTCCTACGTTATCGGCAGGATGACTGGAAGGAGACAAAGATTCAGATTTCAAATACTCGACGAAGGGAAGAATTTGAAATTTTCTATAACAGCGATATACGCGAGTAATACAGAATTCCAAAACATCTATATTCACGGAGCGATAAGACACATGTAAAACGAGAAGACAATAAAAGTTCACGTTGAGAATACAAAAAAAAAGTGAAAATTATGATAAGAAATATGGAAACAAAATTATCGCGATAAACATACCAAAGAATGACACGATACTGATGTTTGGCATTGTTGAAATTTTCATTTTTCAAAATTTTTTTCAAACCTGCAATCTACACTGATAACAGGTTACAGTGAAGATTCGTCTATCTTTATCAGGTGGTCGAGTAGACGATTAGGTGATAGAAAAAAAATTTGACTATACCGTTAAAAAAACTTTTCCTTCATAATTTGACTCACGTATTTATTCAGCATTCGGCCGAGTCAAATAATTAAACCACAATTCCGCTGCCGCGAGCAATCAATATTTTTCATAGAAATTTAAAAACCGAAATAACGTTTACGAATCGAGGTTTTAAAAAAGCTCAGAAATTTCCTGTAAATCGCAAATAAACTCGGAGAGTGTACCCAATCGATGAAATCGAGAAAGACGAAACTATCTTGGTCATAGACGAGTGCTGGTGCACCGGAGTCATCAAATTTTCAAACATAACCTGCTAAAAGTCCATCCTAATTATTGGATAATTCCAGATTGACCGCCTGACCTGAAGTACCAAATGTATCCAGAAATATCCGGATGAAATAATAAAATCAGACATCCGAAAGATGCATCGAGAATAAATATCGGAAAATTGTCTAAATCCGACGACGTAACCCGGTCGCTGGAAAAAGTAAAATTCGTAGAAAAACATGTTTAAATAAAAACAATCCCAGTTTGATTAAATCGCCTTTACTAGGTAATATAAAAAAAAAAAAAAAAAAAAAAAAAAAAAAAAACAAAACTGGGCAATCTAGTTAAATTGATCGAAAACGATCTAGGGATATTCTAATAACTCCGGGTAAGTATCTGGTCCCTATAAAACAAGAGACGGCCCCTGAACGTAGGAAGGGGCGAAAGAGCAAAAGAAAATACCAGGTGGTGGCCAAACCTCGTATTCCGTAGGAAAGGACAGAAATGCTAGTGTTAAAAAGTACGAAGCTACCCCGAACGAAGGGTAGCCTTGAACCCTGAAGGGCTGCTGTACCACTGTCGAGAAGCTGCGGCGTCTGCCGACGCACCGGATATCCGCTCAATCTGGCCTTCCGACTTAAGGAGCGTCCCCGACCGCTTCTGTGCTCTGTTTCGACTGTGACTTCACCGGATTCGTCGAATCAGCCTGTGACACATGAAGAAAGATCGAGGCCTGATTAAATCACGTGTCTCATATATGTAATCTATGAAAAAAAGAAAAAAGAAAAAAAGAATTCTTTTGCAACAAAATTTTTCCATACAAACGAAACACGTGATTGAATCTTTATAAATTATTTCAACGACTTTCATATTCGTATTATTTTCCCGTTCCTTAACTTCCTCCTCGATTAATCGTTGCACCTCGTTACGTATGCAGAAAATTGCATATAATTACGAGGTGAAGAATTTAATGTGCTAGCGAAGGAGGTCAGGTACGAGAATAGATGTAAGAAAACAATGTAAGTAAGTTATTGTTATAAATCAAAATTTCTCTCGTAAAGCAAATACGTCATCAATTTCTACGTATTCGAATTTCATTCAATTCTGTCGAATCCTCGCAGACGGCTCGAATCCATTCGATAGTATAAATCTATAAAGATAAATTTTTTTTTTGAAAAAAAAAAAAGAAAAAAAAAATTGGTACTTGGTATTCGAGCTACTTAAGGTATTTGAAAGCCACGTAATTAAACTTTAGCATTGAAGTGGATGTTTCGATTAAACAAAAAGTAGGCATTTCGCTGAACCAAGAGAGAGTAATTTTTTTTTCCGAAAATTTCACAGTGCCCATTCAAGCAATTTTTCTTAATGCTTACTAGATAAAGCACAGAAGTAACTGTTAAGATCTTTCAAGCTGAAACGATCTGTAGCGCGTATCCCCGTATAGGCAACTCTAAAAGGCATCCCAAAAAGCGAGACACGAGAGTCACAACTGCGCCACGTACCGCCGAGGAATACGCGTTTTGCGCAGTTGGCACGAATTCAAGAAAAAGGGACTGTATAGTGCCGGAGGTGACGTCACTTTTATAGAAGCAACACGCCACCTCGAGCTACGCTCGTGTTCCCATTGGCCAAGGCAAACTCAGCGGCGAATTCGCAAAAAGGCAAACGAGGGGGTTTAATAAATGTCGGGAATAAGATTAAACGAAACAAAAGAATATTTCCAAATCCAGCGTATTTCCATAGCGCGATAGAAACGCCAAGAGCGTCCATTGTGAAAGCCAACGAAAGTAAGTTTGACGCACGAGTTTTTCTCGAAAATCAAAATAATAAACGTTAAACGACCCAAGTCAAGTTAACGTTCTCTTACCGAGAAGATCGTGGCTATCTGAAAGATTAAAAAAAAAAAAAAAAAAAAAAAAAAAAAAAAAAAAAAAAAAAAAAAAAAAAAAAAAACACAAAAAAGGAAATACTCTCCGGAAAAAGTCACTCTAGCAAACAAATCCTGCGTGGAACGACTAAAAACGTAAAAAAGCCGAAAAATCGCGATAAAGCCCGAACGAAAGAAATTGCGAAACCATGAAATATGAAACTCGAAAAATTCAAATTTAAAGAAAACCCCCAAAAATTATCTACTCTCAAAAGTAGTAAATCCCGCGTCAAACAAAGTCTACTGGAAGCCCAGCAAATCGGCTGGACTTTGCGAATGCGCAACAAGTCCAAACCAATTTCGTGAGATCCCTCCTGAAGCCTCGTCCTCAAAGGCCTTGAAGAGTGGCGACATGTTGTGTCCTGTTGACTTGTCCTTTCGAATCAAAAGTCATTTTACAGCCCCAGATCGGATGCCCGATAAGTCCCACGCGTGCAAACACAATTATAACTGTACAGAAAATGTCAACTTTCCATCGAAGAACGCGGCGCATAGCCCCAAGCCAAAGTTGCTACAGGGACCCCCGATCTACAGGAAGTTTCAGTCCAGCGGTAAACGCGTAATTAGGAATTGTGCGGTGAACGATAATCCTTGAAATCAAGAACGAACCCAACTAATGTTTCCCCCGCGAAGATAGTATCTAAGAGGACGCCACGATGCTTTGCATATCAGTCCCATTTGGCAATTCCTCGAGCGGCCGACAGACAGAGGGGAGGAGGGACGCAAGGGGAGAGAAATAAGTATGGCGTCTGATGACCCAACCAAACCTCGATTGCCAAACGAACAAACGAAACCGCGGGAGCGTCCAAGACTCGGTTTAGAGTTTTCAGCCGCTTTTCCATCCATTCGACGAGTCCGAAGAACCAGGTGGTGGACAAGGGGATACGCGAATGCCGTCAAGTTAGTCGTAAACGATTAATAAATAACGAAGAGATAAAAGGGCGTCGATAAGCACACACAGACCCTTCGCAAGAAGAGACTCGAGCGAATCCATTGTCCTTAAATCGTACGCGGACTCCCGTGACGTTGTCGTCGAATGCAACGTATATCGAGCCGTGCTGATATCGATTGACGTGAGAACGGAATTACTGTCTAGAACGTGAGACCAATTTCAGACGATACAAGAAGACAGCCGATACAACTGAAGATGGCGTTTTGGACGTCGCAGCATAGAATTCGTTTACGAGCGCAATACCATTTGTAGGTTATGAAATAACTGAAGCTATACGAAGTGACATTGTCAATGATACGAGACACTTGGATCGGTCGACACTGCTCTTAAACACTGGCTGGGAGGCTAGGTATCTCCCCCCTACAGGACCCCCTCGGCCACCCGTCATAACAATACCCATTTTCCTAGAAACGTCAAACCAGAAAAATTCGTTGGATAATCCCTCAGAGCACCAAGCACTGAATTATATCCTCTATGAGACTTACATGGGACGTAGTCGCGTATCCATGGTACGATTAATAATAATAATGAAATCCGTGTTCTCACTAAGAAGCGTAAGACGTTCTGAAACGCGAATCGAGAGCTTGCGAGTCGGCCGAGAAGCAAAGAAAAAATTTAATAAAGAAAAAAAAGGTATATCACTCCTCCTCGATACAGTAGTAAAATCGAATGGACGTTCAGGGCCGTACGGTAAGGGCGACCCGATCTCGACCGACGTTGCGTACGTATAACGGACAAGGGACTACTTAGCGACAGGACAAAAGACTCGAAGGACGACGTTACAGGCGTTAAACCAAAAGTCGTCGCCGGTTATACGAGACTCATTAAAAATCGAAAGGCGGCGCCGAGGTGCATGGACTGCGCGCGCCAAACCAACTAAGCGGGCCTTTGATTGTAAAACGTTTTCGGAGCGAGGCACACGTTGCGCGGGGTTACAATTTTAGCATGTAAGTATTAACAAACCGAGGAAAAGATACCAAAAATAATTTCGGTGTGAAGAAATAAATCGGGGTGCGTAGTGGCAGTAGCAGTAGCAGCAGCAGGCAGGCAGGCAGCATCAGCACCGGCATCGTCGCTCCGTGTGTAGGGTATTATAAGAAGAGGAGGACCGACCTATGGGTAAGTCAAGAAGTCGAAGGGAGAGCGAGATATACGCTCGGCGAACAGAGTGAAACGAACGGACGGACGCTCTTAGGCTATGCTAAAGGCTGCGAGCTGCTGGTAGGACTTACCTCTGCTGTTTTTAGAACTTCACTCCCAGAACTGCACGGGCCGAGCCAAGCCAAAACCAAAATACCACCGATATAGCCGGAGAGCCTATACCTCCTTGGGAGAATCTAAGCTATACCCAGGCTCTGCTACCTAGTACCCTACCCACGTGACTAACCTAACTGACACATCACCCCCCGAGAGACGCCCGATGACGATGATGGCCGCTCTCGACTAACGGCACGACGTCGCGACGCCATCCAGCATCCAGACTATAACGTGACTTTGGATTTACGAACGAGAATTTCGCTTTTCTTCTTCTTTCTTGGTTACTTATTTGCCTTCTCTCTCTCTCTCTCTTGCTCTCGCTCTCGCTCTCTTTATACGACCGACGCAAGACCAACCTGGAATCTCGTCTGGCTTTATAACCTATTCGCCACTGAATTTCACAATTTCCTTATTCCCTCGCTACATTACACTCTTATATGCCCTATTCTACTTTCTAACACTTTCTTCCTCTCCACTTGCAGAGCTTGATGGCTCGGAGTATCATTTGTTCTCTAAACTGATTTTTCTTATGAAGATGATCAGGTCGACGGTCAAATTGCATAAGTATATGAATTTCCCAATGACACGTGACACGGCACGACAACTATGTATAAACTGACGATTGACATGTATATAATTTAGAACTTTTTTTTTTGTCAATTTAACAATTGATTTCGTCAATAATAAAGTTTCCTCCGATTCAAAAATAGAACGAAAACTGCATTAATTATCGGATAACCTGATTTCAAGTTAGTTGAATAATGGTTACCGGGAATGTAAATTTATTTCATAGAATTCCTAGCTCCCGTACCCGTCAGATTTGACAGTGTATATGAGAGTTCATTAAACCGACAGCATCCGTCCGTCGCATTTTAATAATGAACATCGAGGCAAGAGGAAAATGAAATTTGATGCACTGAAGCTTGAGTAATTCAGTAGCGAATTAGTCAAAATTGTGTCTTAAGCGCAAGAGGAAGTACCACGTAAACTCTTGACAAGTCATACCGTACAATGGAATCCTAGACTGCGCACCTTACAAGAGATCTATCGAATTACAAGATCCGCCCCATCGTGTGAAATTTACTATTAGTATCCGACCTAAATTGAATCTGGTTAAACAGAAGGACGTCTTCTGAATTCCTTATGAGTCGACAGTGTCGAAGTGGATACCTACTCGACTAATCGAATCCCAGTGCACCCCGAAAACGTCTTTCAAGCCAAAAGCTACGAGTCATAAGATTGCGAAATTCCTGCCATTTATCCAAATAATAAATCACGAGTCTCTTTGGCTCCCCGGCAGCAATAAAAAGTGCCTGTCAGATAGGCTACCAAAAAAACAAAAAAAAAAAACAAAAAAACAGAAGAGCCATTAAATATTTTCTCAATTTCAAATATGAAACGTATCGCCATTCTAGGAGTACGTGATATTGAAAATTTCAACCTTAAACATCAAAGCCTCGCCGATACGAGGATCCGTCTTATAACTATTTATCTCAAATATAATAAAGCAATTGCTGATATTCATTCATTAAAGAAATAATATACAAGGACGAGCCCGACGACTTCGTTTCCATGAACCGATAGAGAGGTTAGAAGTAAATTGTTATTTAAAAAAAAAGTCTTTAAAAAATATCTCAACCCAGATTACAAAGGTATGAGGGACCCGCAGCAAGCAGGATCGGCAGTGCGTAAGTAAATAAAAAAATAAAAGTATACGCAGCATCCAGTAAGTGCGGTGCGAGTGGCGCGAGGGGTCGTGCCGTTTTTTTAAAACGCGAAGCGCCGTAAAGAAAAAGACCCAAGTAAAACGACATTGCTCCGGATCGGCACGTGCCACTCGATAAATCTGTCGGCAGCTGACGGGCACAGCCGGCTGCGTGCCGCGTTTCTGCTATACGGTCCAGGAGGGCTGACATCCCCAAGAGCGTATATCCCACGTGTCGCGTGACTGGCCGCAACCCCCGTTCGACGACGAGCTTCGTATTTCGTTGAGAAAACGTCCGATTGGTCCATCGGGACGAAACGGCTACGCGACTTGATCTCCACGTGAGTAATCTGGACCAGAGAGACTCTCGCTACCCTCGTTCAGCCTGGGCTCGCGTATAGATAGCAGACCCAGAAGAATCTCTCGATGCAGCAGGAACATTCCGAACGGTGTGATACCCGCCTAATTCTGGCATCTTCGGCAGCCCCAGCATCCTCCTCGGCTCGCTAGCCGCTTTCTCCCAGCTCCGGTGAATACATCGATCTCAGCATTAACTCAAGGACCACCAGGTACCAGATCAGCCAGGACAACGCCGTCTGGGGGGTACGAAGCATATCGCGAACTGCCAAAAAAAATCATCAAGTCCAGTTCGCTTACTCAGAAAAACACATTGAAGATCGTAGCAGCAGCAGCAGCAGCAGCCATATTCTTTGTCCTATGACACGGCGAAGTCAAAGCTTCGATGCTAATTTTAACCAGCAGCAGGCCCGAGTCGGAGTACCCGAAGGCTGAGGCTGAGCAGGAGCAGCCGCCAGAAACCAGAGCACGTGCTTCAAGTAAATGACGTGTGCCTTGAACTCTCGTCCTGCCTCACCTGCCCCCTCGCCATCGCCACCAGCATCACCCAGCGGACGGTCATACTACACTGCTTATCAATCATCCTCGGGAGGCAAGCTGCGCCCGGTGCTTGCAGGTAGAGCCCAGGCTCCCACTGCTGGCAGCAGCCATCGATTAATCGCCGCTACTTCCTCCGGCTGGGACCTTCGATTACTGATCTTGCTCGAGGTTCAACGTGTCAAAAGTTCATCCCGAGGATTTACGAGTTAAGTCCAGTTAAGTCCCTCTCGAAGACTGGCAGCTCTGGGTATCTTGAGGTCGACCCTGGCTCGACTTGGTTTTTTTCTTTAATTTTTCTTTTTTTTTTAATCAACAACAAAATGGCACGAGGCAACAATTTACCGAAGCTTCGAGACAGCGTACCCTTTCGACTTTTCGTCTGAGGGGGAGCTTCGCTTCCGGTTCGTCTCTCTCTCTCTCTCTCTCGGATCGAGCGTGTCCAGACTTCCTCAAGAGGAAGAGGCGCTTCCACATTGTGTAGTATCAGGATCGCGTCGCACGTGGGGCGTGCTCAGCCGTTATCCCGTGGAGCAATCTCTGTAGGAGGCTGGAAAACACATGTCCCGCACTCGCGCCGCCTGGCCACGTGTGGGGTGGTTCGGCGCTGTTGCTGCCGTTCTGCCGTTGCTTCCTTGCTTTTACATTGAGAGCGCGTCCGAGAGTCCCCGTAATTCAAAGCCACGTGACTACGTGTATTTCCATGAGACGTATTTTGCTTGAGACTCCTCAGTTATCTCAATAATAATTTCACGTTAATCCAAAGGCCTCGTTCGCAAGTGCCGACACGACCGTCACCACGGACGCAGCCTGGTCGAACCCTAAGCAAGGCAAACTCCATTGTACAGCCCAAAAACAATATTTAACCTCGTGTGGCACCGGGATAAATCGATGAGACGGGATAATTAAGGACTTCTCCAGAATCACGTGAAATCAATCGATTAGAAAGAAAAAAAAGTATCAGGTACCAGTATCAAGAACAACTAGAGAACTCATAACAAGCAAATAATGATACAGCCATCCGGTAAGTTTCGCAGGTCGAGTGTCGGGGTCCTTAATTCTATCTTTCCGCGCGCGTGGATACAGACCGGAGGCTGTAATCTGAAACTGAGAAGCGCATCGGGCGATGAGTGAGATAACGAAGGCTGATCGAAGGAGCTGTACCAACTAAGAAGAAAAAAAAAAAAAAAATATTTCCCACGTCTTCTCAAACTTATTCCTGAGTCTCTTAATTGATCGTCACCACGTAGCAGCCTAGATCGATCTCCGTGATCGGTTCCACGAGAATTTTCGCAATTATCCCCGACCCTCCTGTACAACTTTCTTACATACATGGCTCGATGATTGCTGTATCTTTCTAATTCACTCTCTCTTTTCTTTTATCCAATCTATATATATATATATATATATATATATATATATATATATATTTTAAATTCTCTAGCACGATAACCGATCATCCTACTGGACAGGAAATTGTATCGACGGCCGACATAGGTAATGCGTGCTCAGGCGGTGCGTTCGCTTGAAACGCGACACCGCGGCTGTGCCAGGAGATCCGGAGGGCTGACTCTGGGTAACCCAGTACAACTGGCGGACCCGTGGACTCTTAGAGAGAGAGAGAGAGAGAGAGAGAGAGGAGCCAAACATCAACCAACCGAGTGGCCCAGCAGGCTGTGTACGTGGTCTCTATGTGAATCGGTGCTAGCCGTAGGTGTACATATACAGGACACGAGTAGGACAGAGAGAGAAAATGGTAGACAAGAAGAATAAAAGGAGGAAGAAGAAAAGGAAGAAAGTCAAAGTAGTAAGAAAATAAGAAGAGAGAGAGAGAGAAGAGGAAGGAGCCAGAAGAAGAAGAAGAAAGGAGAGAGAAGAGAAGAAAAGAGAAGGAGGGATAGGAACGAGGTGGCAGCTGTTGGGCGCGTGCGGCGTCGAACCTTTTAAGGCGCGATCATCGGACGCCCGGCGTCGCAGCGTCCCCACCGACCACACTCGAACCTCTCCCCCCCACCGCCGACGTCGGACGTAGTCATCGCAACTACCACCACCACCACCACCACCACCACCACCCACCACCCACCACCACCAGAACCAGCAGTACCAGTAGCGCTTCTACCATTACCGTACCGACGCTGCTACCAGCAACAGACATTATACCTTCGACTCTCATCCCCGACTTAGCAACCTCCTTCCTCTCTTGGAGTCCTTATCCTCCTAATCCTAGTCCTTAAAAACTCCAGGATACCAACCGTCGGATCTTATCTTGCTTTCAAAATCCTCTCGATGATGCAACCGATCGTCGTTAGGACCCCCACCCCC